TTTTCTTTTTTTAATATAGCAACAGTTTCATTTTATGTAGTTGCACAGTTGTTTAAGCATTGAGTTTGAAACTTCCAGTTTGGTGTAGGTTTGACTTTTTTTTTTCTTTCACCATATGAAAACCATTTTCTGTGGTTGGAAACTATTAGTTATCCTTAGTGTGAACAAAACTTACTTTCTTTTTTTTTTTTTTTTTTTAAATGGGTGCAAACTGGTATGCTCCAAACAGTAAAGCTCTGTCATCAAAAATAAAATAGCGCTCCAGCTTTCTGGTCTGTCACGCTTAAAGCAGCAGCCTAAAACGTTGAAGTAGAGGAGCAAGTTCTCCTTCCTCTTTGAGCCTGCCCTTGGTAGAAGGAGGGAAGGCAGACTCCCGAGCGGGCGGTGGGGCTGGCGCGTTCGCCGCCCTCCGTGGAGGTCCAGAGCTCGCGGTTTGATGCCCTGCGCTGTGCATGCCACCCGGTCCCATCAGGCCAGCTTGGAGCCGTCACCTCAGATTCGCTTGCTCACAGAATGAGCACCTGAAGCTGCTTTTATAGCTTAATATTCAATTCTTGAAACCTGTTTGGAAATTTTCTTGGCTTGTGGAATGGGAAAGAAAAACTTTTAAGAGCTTTGAAAGCTGCCATAGGGACTTGCTACTTAGCTGGATCAAATCCAAAATGGCAGCCACAGCCTAGTTTCTTCACAGGTGCTTTTTGAAGAATTTAAAGCTCTGTTTTCAGTTTGTGAAGTCTATTTATATTTTGTCTCTGCTTATGAGACTGGATAGCTCAAGGGACTGGTAATGGGATGTGGAGCCTTTCACCGTGTACTTGCCAGCCCACATCTCACCCAAACTGGCAGTGACAAAGTTGTTAGCCATTAGTGGTGGGGTTTGGCTTATGCTAAATGTAGTTATTTGTCCAGCTTTAATTCCTAGTGGAATAAGCGTCCTATTCAGAGAAAAGACGGGCTCTTTTTGTTGGCTGTCTCAGCAACCAGATAAAGCCTGAATTGGCAGGAAGATCAGCCTATATAACCTCTCTACACTGAAAATGGTGCTTTCGGTCAAAATTGATGCGCGTGGCCTCAGCAATGCTAATAGGTTTGTGTTTTATAAAGATAGAAGAAGGGCGTTAGCATTAAGGACAGTTAATTCAGGATTTTACAAGACTGAAAATAGCAGAAGCTTCTGCTAGTGGTAAGGTTTAAAAAATTTAATTCTAAGTCAAGAGAAGTCTTGAATTCTGAAGCCCTGATATGTTTTTCAATGCCACAGAAACCAAGGAAGCAACCAAGATCTTACTGATTTTTGATGTGGAACAAAATCTTGTGCTTTCTACCATTTCCTTTTTCTGTAGAACAGTTAAGGATATGTGATTTAAAAAAAAAAATCACTTATGGAAACTGTTATTTTATTTAGCTACGATATACTCATAGGTGTTGGCATTGTAATTTGATCCTTGTAGTTAGTGGTGTCATGTCAAGATTTTTTTTCCCTCAACTTTCTTGGTTTTGCTTTTTACTGAATTTAGCTTTTTATTTAAAAATGAGACTTCATTGGCCAACTAGGTGGCACCTTGTATTTTCATTACAAAATCGACACGAGGGGTTTGTCTTAAAATTTACTTCTCTTTTGGATGCCATGAAATGAGTTCAGCAACATGTAATCTGCTAAGTATGTGAACTGTACAGATGGCTGAACTTATCTGAACAATTACTTGCTTTTTTTTCTTCCTTCCTTTCTTTTTAGTTCTACACAGTTTGCAGTTTCCTTTCTTTTGCTGTGTTGTTCCCACTGGTAAAATGGTTACTTTTCAAGGGATGAGGATTAATTAGTAAAACATAAAAGCTTTATATCTATGAAAAGAGTTGGGCTGGGATTCGTGTTAGGTGCTAAAGTACAAATAAATTTCATTTGTCTTTGGACATTTTTGGGCCTTTCTTTGAAAATCTCAGCTCAAAGCTTTACCACGTCTTGGCATCCCAAGCTAAATAAATATGCTTTCTGAAGTTCAGTATATTTAAGAGCAGAAGCTCAGTTAAGTAGGTTTGGCCTTCGTAGTGTATTTTACTGTTGGGACTCTTGCTTTATTTGAAGTAGACTGGAGTTAGAGCCGATGTACTGGCGTGCTCAAAAAGTAGGAGGAGGTGACTGAATTGAATTGGATTATCTTATGTGACTCACTTCTTCCATACTTTTGTTATGCTAGTTTTTTTCCTTTTGTTTTCATTCATAGCCGTTGATATGCATAAACATGCGTGAAACAACGTTTTCATGATTTCAGGGGAAAACATCTTTAATTGGGAATAATAATAATTTCAGAGCCTTATATTTTCCTTTTTCTCAGTTTCCTCCTTGCTCCTTTTATAGAGCTGCTGACTACATTTGTTTTCATCTCTTTATTCTTCTGTTTTTAATTTCTCCTCCTGCTCATCATTTTCTGCTTAACCATACTCTACTTTTGCCAAGCTGTCTTTTCTGAATGCAGATATTTTCATGTAGGTGCTCTTTTTTTTTTTTCCTCCCCCAAACTGCACTCCCAAACTCATGACCTAGTAGTAATAATCAGCAAACCTCTACCAAGTTGTTTTCTGATCATCGTTCTTGTGTCTGGTATAAATTTGGTCAGTAAGCTCTTCGGAGCAGAGGCCTATTGCTGTCTCAGAGGCGGAATTAAGCTTGTTTTACAAAAGCTGGAATACTACAATACTGTGTTGTTTGGATAGTGCTACTAGCTGGAAGAGTAGAATCTGTGATGACTGGAACATCTGCCTAGTAAAATAAGAACAGGATAGAATAAAGGATCAGTTCTCATTGATTATGGTTTTAAAACTGTTTTGTCTATCAGAAATAATTCTGATCGCATCATTGACATTAATACTGATTCATTCCACTGTGAGACTGCTAGCTGTCTGCACAAACCTGGAAAATAACTAGGAATGGTATTTCCACAATTTTTTTCTTTGTGTAGCTTGAATTTTATTCCAGGCTTAATAAGGAAAAGCAACAGTTCACTACATCCTGTGTTTGCTTACTGTTAACAGAATGATGGACTAGCTCTGTAATAAATGCAATGTTTTCAGAATATTCTTGTGAAAGACCTGTGTTTTAATGGGATAAGTTTCATTCTACCCACATTATCTGCAGCAGTGATAATAAATAACGAGTCTCAGAGTTAAGATTGGAAGTAATCTAAGTCTGAAGTACTGTTCTCCTGATCTGTTGGTCAAACAGTAGCAGTATTTTAATTTTTCGAATCTATGAGTGGAAGTGCAGAAAGAAAGGGGAGCAATTATAAAATGACATTTCAAAAAGTCAACTTAGATTTTTAATTTATAGATTCATAAGAACCTTGTTTCGAATTGTGTTCCTTTCTGATACTGTAATCTTTACGCCAACACATGGTTACATTTTTAGCCTCATTACATCTGTTTTAAGTTGTTGGTTATTTGGAAATGGACTTCATAACGTTTGCCGTTTTCCTGAAGTTTGGCGTTCCATATTGGCTCCATATTGGATTCATTACCTGGAAGTTATAAGAATGCATTCTGACTGACCGTTTACAGGAATTCTGGAGATTCCTCTTAACTGCTTGTGATTTAATCTCTTCAGGATTTCCTTTAGTGATAAATTTAATTAGTTTGACCCCCCCGCCCCCATTTTGAAATATAACTTTCACACCTGGAAAATATGTAGTGTACTAAAATATTAGGGTCTCTTTTTTTTTTTTTATTAAGCCAGTATTTGCTGCTCTTAATCACTGGTTAGTCAGCATTTATTTGCTGCTCTTAATCACTGGTTAGTCAGCATTTTTCTCAAAATGTATGCTATATAGTACAAATGTGTGTGTTCCAGGTTCCTTGAATTTCTGTTAGACTTTAATCAGCAGGCACCTGCAAGTCTTTTTTTTCTTCTAAACATGTATAGTCATTAATAGTACGTGGTACTATAGTATCTCACTCACTCAAGTCTAAGACATGCGTTTCTAGAGGCAGATCATCTCTGTTGCTGTAATTTGTGCTATTCAAGACTTTTGTCTACATGTTTTGAGGAAAATGGGGATGGTTGGCTTGAAAAGTAATTTCTTTCTTACCTAAGCATGCTTTCTTTCGTTTTCAGATGAAACATTTCATATACTGTTACATTTTGATTTAAGTCGGTTGATCTCAGGTATAAATTACTAAGTAGCGGGGGGGTGGAGAGTATGGTAACTCTTCACTATTTCTGGCACACTTCATGTTGCTTCTTATCTGAGTCTTTACCTACCATCAAAGTGGCTGCTCACTTAAAACAAGCCCAACAAATAGGGCTTTCATATCAAAAGGAAGCTAAGAAAATTGGATAAATCAGTGCCGTGTGCTACTGTGGATTGTGTTGTATTAGTGCTAGATCGGAAACATTTACTCTGGAACACTTTGTGTATAGTTACGTTCCTGTCAATGCATTATAGTGATTGAATTAGTGTTAGAGTTTGTTTCTTTACTAGATTGGTCAATTTAAAAAAAAAATTGCACTTTGTCAAGTTTGTAGGGTAAAAATGTCATTGTTAGCATGTCCCTCCCATCTGAGGTACTACCTGTTAGGAAAAAGGGGATTTTAGAATATTTCTGAACTAAACTTTTGCCTAAAGCTGTAAGCTTGAGAATTGGTCTGTTCTCAGCGTACATATGTTACATTCAGTGCTTACCCTGTAATCTCACCTGCAGTGTGAAGCAGCAGTTGCCATAACTAAACTGCCGATTTTTTTTTTTTTAAATGATTAAGCAACTCTTAGAGGGGAAACCAGTTTATTCTACAGTATTGTGCGTCCTATTCTAACTAGAAGTCTGTTTTTCCTCAGTGTTTGCATGTTGAGCATTTGAGTGCTTGAGCTTTATAAAAAGGATGACTGTTCAGCAATTTGTTTTTGAATGAGCTGACTATGGAACAGAACTTTTTTTTTAAGAAATATATTATTACATACTATTTTTTTTTTTTTTTTACATTGTCTATTCACAATCCATATGTTGTGCAGATCAGTGGTGAAGCTCAGGAGCTCTTTTCTGTCCGCCATGGTCCAGTTCGAGCTGCACGAATCTTACCAGCTCCACAAATCAGTAAGTATATATTTGTATGGTGCACAGCTAAGCAAAACTCTTTCCTTACAGGTATTTGTCCAAATCATTGTTGCAACCTGTTCTGTAGATCTTCCATTTATTGTAAACTCTGTCACCTTGACTAAATTATCACTTCATAGTAGCTTTTTACAAGTATTACTTATTTATTCTCTCCTCTACTTCATAATCCAGTGCTTTCTCAATTTTCATCTTAAGCTTGCAGCTTTGATACTGCTTCCTTTGTAGTTTAAAGGATAGGCAGATATATCCATGCTCAGCAATCAGTCCAGCAATGTTAACACTTCTATTTGGAAAGGCTTATTGTGGATATTTACAGCTATAAAATACTACTGAGGGGTGGTTCCAGCCATTGTTCCTATCATAATAAAAATTATATTAGACTTTTTCTTAAACTTTTTTGGGTGTATATAGTGAACACTTCATCTTTTCCTCCTATTTTTTATTTCTATTATTTAGTTACTTATTTCACCTCTTCTGGGAAGACCACTGATGCAGAGCATGCTTGGTGTATGACAATGTTTGAAGACACTATAGGTATAGGATATAGAGCTCACTCTTATCCTGTGGTGTTCTTTTTTAAAATAAGGCCTTGAAATATCTGAAGGATTTCGTTTTCCAACTGCGTCTAGTCTAAACCTATGGTCTGCTTTGGCAAGTAGTATGACCCAATGGTAGAGCATTTGTAGAGTGAAGTAGCGCTGAGGACTTGATGTCACCACTGTACGCGTTTTAGGCAGCTTTATTTTGGACTACCTCTGTATTATGGTCCCACGGAGTGAATGCACAAGAGTATTTGGAGCACGTTAGGGGCACTTCTGGAGTACATCTTCCAGTTTAACTTCATCCAAAGGAATCTGGTTTGCGTGCGCCTAGACTGCACAGACCAAATAGGCTACACAAGACTATACAGAGCAAGGTTATACAGACGGTGCTATTCAGATCAAACCACAGGAAGGGGCCATGGCTGGGTGATTCAGTTCAAAAGTACCCTCCCGATCCAAACTAAAAGGCTGATGTGGATGGTCCTAAGATCTCCTCAAGTTATTTTATTTCTCTTACATTCCCCAAACAATTTTGAAGGGGAATTTGCCTATACAGATGATGTTTAATGGAACTTGATTTGCAGATTTCCCAATATCATTGTTTAATTCATTTTTAAAGATGTGTTACCCTGACAAGATAGTAACAAGAGTATATTTGCATTATTAGAAAAGCAACTCTTAAATTATAATATATTTTTATACCTCTCAAAGCATTAAAGAAATATCTGAGAAATGTGCTCGCAAAGAGCGAATGGGATGCTGTGCCACTCTAGAGGGAAGGAAAAATTTCAGTCAAGGACACTAAAGAAAACTTGCATTCTTTTAGAGCTGTGTTGTGATTTTACAGGCCTATATTTAGCAGACTAAACACAATTTTTGCAAAGAGGTGGTGAGTGTGTGCATTTCTTTATTTTTTTGTTTTTCTAAACCCCAGCATTTTTTGTGTTCTTATGTAGCCTGTAGATAAATATTATGTTCCTTAATAAAATAACTGTATAGCAAGGCAGTGCCTGATAGCAGTAGATCTAGAAAACATTAAAATTAATTTTAAATTTATATTAAATTTCATTGTATAATCTATTCATAATGTGATACCCTTCTAACTTTTCAAAGCTCTAAACTGTTGAGGAGAAGGATAGTGTGATTTTTTTTTTTCAGCTTCAGTTCCTGAATGGATAAATGTGCATGACATAATGCAAAAGTAGTAGATCCAAGTAATGTTGCCTGTACAAGGAGGAGCTTAACTCTTTTTAAAAAAAACCAAGTAGACATATCAGAAAAGACAAATATCCTTTTTGTCTTTTTTGTATTTTATTTATGAAGAAAAATGCTTTTCCTAAAGCATTTTCTAAAATATGTAATAATGTAAATCGCCCACTTTGCTTTAAGTTTTAGCTTTTAATGATATTTCTGAAGGGAATGCCTTTCCATTCTGATGAACATAAGCAGAAAGCAGAATTTATGTTATTTTGAGTGGCTCTAGCTTTTAAGTTGTCCCTCTTCTGCTTATTTTATGTAATATTTATTCAAACAGTTTGACTTGTTTTAGTGGGGTGTGTTGTGTGTATGTCTCCTCGTGTGCAGATAGGCACCTCTTCTCTTCTGCTCCTTAGATATTTCATCAAGTTGTAAAACAAGCTGCTTGGTTTGTTAAATTGTATTGTTTCAGAAATTCTGAGTAACCTCCTAGAAGAATTTGCTGCAAAATTTAAGCAACTATGCATAAACAAGCAAATCCTTTTAAAAACTAAGGCTTTTCAACTCAAACACAAGACTTTCCCAAGAAGTGGGCCAATTCTCATTTGTTTAGTTATCCTCGGTACTTTAAAAAATGAGTTGTTATGCTTTTTAAAGAGAACACCAACTTTCTGACATGTTATCTTGAGATCATTGAAAGAAAAAAAACAGCTTTGCTGTAATATCTTTGCTGTAATAAGCTTTTCTTTAGTCTCAGAACTACGTTAATTTGCGTAATTGCATGTTGGGAAATCTTTTCTGTGACCTTTCACAGTTAAAATACTGACAATCTGTCATTGAGGAGCTGCATGTTGGGAAATTTTTTCTGTGACCTTTCACAGTTAAAGTACTGACAATCTGTCATTGAGGATCTGGTTCTAGACTTCTTAAAGGCCTAAGATCTAGCTTATTTTCAATTTCAGCAGTGTTTTGCTTATTCATTTTCCCTTTAATTTGAGCTGGACAAGCTGTTCTGGAGCATGTCTACTTTGCCATGTTTCACTTCAGGGTGAATACAGTGTGCCTCTCAAAAACCTTAGTCGTGCTAAAATTCTACTGGATGACAAATTTTGCTAGCATATTATGAATTATTTAACTTGAAAATATAGCCTAGCTAACTTTTAAAATTATTATTACCAAAACAACAAACAAAAAAAAAACAGAACTACAATCATTTTGAGTGTTTTAAAGAAAGTAAGTGAAGAAAGTTTAAGATTTAATGGACACTTATTGTTTCAGGGTCTACTTAAGCAGAAAAATACGCAAACTATGAATGCATACAATTCTGTAATAAGGGTTATGTTTTATTGAGGAACATGATGTTGTGGTCTCTAGGCAAGAATTAAACTTTAGTATAGGTTAAAGTCATTCAAAGTATTTCAACAGCTGTATGTTAGATGAGAAATAACCTCCTGCTTTTTTCTGGTTAATCATAGAAAAAATGGTGTTGAGCTATTTGTTATTTGCTCTTCTGTGTATAAATAATGGGTGTCTGTGCTCCCCCGTAAAAGGAAAAAAGGAGAAGTGAAATGGATATCAAGGAAATTAATTAAAGTAACTACAAGCTCTGTTTTTTCTGATAGTAAAATAGTGCTTTGTGATTTTTTTTTCAATCTAGTAAGTTACGCTGCTTATGAACTTCTTCAAGCAGTTATTCTCTCTCTAAATTGCTTATATTTAGCATTTCATGATAGTTGCTACATTAGAAACTATTCAAATTAGCTCATATTAAATTAAGTCAAACCTTTTAAAAACATGTTTTGGTCTCTTTTTGCATGGCTTAGTTTAGATAAATTTTTGATTAAAAGTACATGAATGTATCACTGACCAGTATCTGGAATCAGATAAAAGTAAAGCTGTAATAAGAGGCCTTAGATAACTAACACATGAGCTTTAATGATTCTGAACCAAATAAAAGGAATTTGTAAAGGAGAAGCTGATTACCATCAGTAGGCTCAAACTCTATTTTACTGTAAAGCTGTAAAAAGGGAATTGTTAGAAGTGGGACTCTCTTGGTGGATGGATTTGGCACGTTCCTAGAAGCAGATCTTAGTTTGTGATAAGAAACGCATTCCCAGGTGTGAAAGGAAAGCTCATGGTTTTAACTTGGTGACTACAGCAGCAGAACTTAATAGTTTGTCAACTATTTTGCTAAAATACTGCAGTCCTTTGATGTTAGATTCTCTGCTGCATCATGTTCTTCGTAGTATAATAAAGCATTGTTTAAAAAGAGTTGTTTCATGCAGGCTTACTGCAAAGGAGACCTTCTCAAATCTGATTGAACAGGTTCCAGTAACAGGAACGTGGTGCAAGACCTGGAGCTGGCCTTCCACCCTGGCAGCTCAGATCCAACAAGGTTTATTAGTTCAGGCTCTGTTCCACACTAGAGCAGTTAAATGGCCTCTGGAACTGTTCTGGCCTGGCAGCGACACAGCCATGTTCATGCAGGGTTCTGTCTGAGCTAATAAACCAGGCAAGACCTGACCTGGCCCAGCGTAGCAGTGCTTTGATGTCTCTCTGTGGCATGGTTAATCTGCAGCCTAGATAAGATGTCCATAAATAATTGAGAGATGTCCGTAAATAACACCCCAAAATGTAGTCATTTACTATTCTCTGTGAACCTGCTGTATTTCACTCAAAAAATTTAGGGTCAGAAACTGAGAGAAATCTAGCTAGTAAGAACCAGAACATTGTGTTATAGCTGATTGAAAACCAGAATGTGTTTGTTCTCTATCCTGAAGTGTGGCAGTGCTTCAAACTTCATTGTTTCTCTTGACAGCAAGGTGCAAAGGCAAGAGTCCACTAGTGAAAACTTCTGCCTCTGATTTCCCTGAGGTTTACCCTGGAGGTGGCTAAATAATAAGTAATTGTACACAGGAATTTTTATAGTCAGTCTTTTTTTATAGTCAGTCTTTTCCATAGTTACACAGTAATATTCTGTTCTAGGTGAATGTTACAGACCTCCACCACAGCTGGCATGCATTGCCTTATCTTGAGATAACAGGGGCACAAATGACTGGAAAAAATGGGCATTTGACAGGTCAGTTGAAAATGAAAAACACTTTGGATCACTGATTCAGGGTAGACAGGGATACCTTTGACTCTGCAAAGACTGCAAATCTCTTGTTAATAGTTGAATAGGAGCTATTAACTCCAGTTGAATAGGAGCTATGAAATATTTTATAAAATTTTATTTGATAG